GAAAAGAACTGAGCAAAAGCCTGGCTGCCTTCCAGTTTAAGCCTGTTTAAGTTCCCTTAATTCCTCCAGAATTAGGTGATCAGTTGATATAAATTGATATGAAACAAGAGAAAATCTCTTAGATTGTAACTTTTGGCATTAATAAAAAAAAAAAAAAAAAAAAAATGCCTTTTATAGCTCGTCACCTGAAGGGACACTTAATGATAATTAGTCCTGCTATTCTAGAGTCACAAACTGACATGTTTGAGAATCACTGGACAGATATCTAACACAAACCTTAAAACCACGTCAACTATGATGTACTGCCATCTGGTGGCTAAATATAAGATCCTAAACTTTTCCCTAGAGTTTTAATATTGTACAAAGAATATAATGTAGAATGTTTATTTCCAAAGCTTAGTTGACATTATAGGAAGAAACAGAAGAAATGTCACATTTTATTAAATAAGCCTATTTCTCTTGAGGATAAAAAAGCAGGCCTTTCATATAATAGGTAAAATGCAATGCTAAGCAGCTAAACAAATCATTCCCTACATGTTACATTTATAGTTGTAGAGTGAAACAGGAGGTCTGTGTATGAACCTGATTGATTTTCCGTTTAATTTTCATTCATCCAAAAACAGGGATTAGAATAATGTTCTTTTTTCAGAAATGTATGAACTCTTGGATCTAATAGGAGAATTTCAGATGGAAAAAGGGGGAATAAAAATCTCTTCATGACGTGAAAAGCCTAACCCTTTGTCTTCAGGTCATTTTAAAAGTGCTTTAGTGTTGATCCCTGAGATCTGTTATACAAAATTTAAATAGAAAAAGGCATATTTTCCCAACTAAAACATAGTTTGCTAATGAAAATTATAGAAGTTTACAATTTCAGTTATGGAAATTAAAGTTCTTTCGTTCTCAGAATTTGATCGAATAAACATTCCTGCGAGAGGTCATCATTCTGTTGGGATACAGATGTTTGATATGGATATAGTAATGGTTTGTGTGTCCAAAATTATAAAAATGGAAGTCGGCTAATATAAATGAGCAAAAAGGCACAAAATATGAGACAATAGCGAATCGAGTAAAGACCTAAATATCCTAATATACGCTTTCTAACCACTTGTCTTAAATGAAAAAAAAAATCATAATTTTGGGAGTTACTTGTAATTTTCTTCAATAAAAACCTATTAATTTGAAAACAGTCTTTGAAAGGAAATATTGCAACATGTGCAGATCTCATAGGGGATAGATTTATACTGTTTTTTTGTCCTGGGATTTATTCCCCTGTGGTGTTTTATTTTAAGTCTTTGAGTTGAATGCACAGGACTTGTGAATTAATCCTCGGAACATCATGAACAGCATCTGCCTCTGCTGCAGATTTATAACTTTTTTTGTTACACACCTAATATGACTGGAACAAAAAGGACCTGAAGTAGGTGAATGTGAGATCAAGAACATTTTGCAGAGTGGATTATCTGGATATATCTTGACTATAATCTACAAAAAAACTTTTACTAATGATTTAGAAGGTGACTCCACACATACTTGATCCTCTCAATTTAGGTGTTAAAAAGGCTCACTTGTGTGCACAGTGGGTTACCGCAATCCCCTGAATTCTTGCCAGCAGAAAATGTGGCCCTTTACTTAAACAAAAGGCCAAACTACTTCATTTTCAACAGAATTCCTCAGATCTGTTGTCAGCAGGGAACACCTCCAGGAAATATTCTGGCTATGCAATCTCTTCAGAGCTCATCTCCTTGAATTGCTGTTCCTTCTCTTACCTAAAAATATCACATGTCTTATAGATCTTTAGAGCTTTAAATTGTTTATATTGGAACAGATTATTTTTAAACTGAGTCATAACTAAAGTATCTGAAAGTGGTGGAGACTTGTGTACATAAGTATGACCTTTTTGGCTGATTTCTTGCAGTTGGTGTGGACAAACCCCACAAGTGGGTTTGCTGTTACAATGTATTGGACCTTTTTAGTGCCTTTTTAGTGCTTTTAGTGCTTTTTTAGAATTTAAGACTGATTAGATGTGCGGCTGACCAGCGGTGTTGTAGAGGGCCGCACTGGGTCAACGCG